GGTGTTTTGAACCAGTTTGACATGGCTGTCGGCGAGGGAGAGGGCGGGCACTGGAGGAGAGGGTGTGCCCCAGAGACCATCTTAGCACCAACATAACTGTTTTTTTTCCCCACTTTGGAGTAAGCTGTTGGGGGAGAAGCAGTTTCGTTTGGCATTTCCTCAGATTGATGAAGTCTTCTGGATGAAAGGCGAAACGTCTCAGCACAAAAAAACGAAACCGTCCAGATGACTTGACTGAAAATTGTTGGATCCGTCTTATAAATGTCATAGCGGACCAACCAGTGCAGTTGTATATATATATAGTTTTATTTTATTTTGTGGGTTTGTTGTTTATAATTCTGTACAGCACTTTGAGCTGCTGAAGGGTGCTTTATAAATAAAATTGATTGATTGATTGATTGTTGTCCTCCAGTACAAGTGTTGGGGGTTCGATTTCACCAGCAATCACCTGCCTAATTGTCCCTGAGCAAAACACAGAACCCCTCATTATCCCCGATGTGTGTCCCCGGTGTATGAATGTGATAAAGCACTGATTATTCTTTATACAGAAACAGTAGAGTGTTGTTACTGTAGGAATGGGACTGAATGGACTGTACTATTTTTCCTGCATCAATTACCATGATGTGAATAAGCATGGTGGTGTAAAACATTATAAAACACTGTTGGTTTAAATATTTTAGATTAAAGTTGTTTTAAGACTACTGCTCTCTGGATCAGACCAGTCATTATCTCGTCAGTCTGGATGAAATTAAACAGGTTTTCTTTAAACTAAAATCATTTAAAGAGCTGTCTACAACACGTAGGATAGTAACTGTGCATAACCTTTCCACAGAAATGCACATCAAAAGACCTAATACTGTTAGTTAGTCAATAAGAGTACTAATTCAACTGTTTCAGTTTTTATCATTCTGGAAATTTAGCATTAATCTGACCCTCACAAACTAATAATCTGTCATAACAGAATGCTTTCAACATGACACTAAAACTGTCCAGTAGAAAGAAAGAAAATGAAATGGTATTTTACATTTTGGACACTAACTGTTTACTATTATTATTAGTTGTAATAAATTGTAGAAACACAAATATGAATGTGATTTTTGCACAATTTTCCTAGAGGGAGCCCTTTTTGTATCCTTTTATTTTTTTTACACAAAACTCCCCATGAATTCAGCAAAGAAAAAGAAAAAAACTGGCATCGTGTTGCTTTGTTTTTACACAGATGCTTGCAAGAAGTTTCGTCCTGTAACACACACACACACACACACACACACACACACACAAAGAATGGTCTCTTTGGCTCCCCAGGTACTCTGTGGCTTTAATGCCTGCAGGCAAAACACATGTAGACCCACTTCGCAGAGACAGACAGAAATCCACAGACAGAAGGAGAGAAATCCACAATGCTGATTAAAAATGTCTTATGTCATGAAAACTATAGAGCACAACCGTTGTAATGCACCTGATGACTTCCTTTGTTTTCTCTGTCAGTCCTTTTGAATATTTTTTGTTTATCTTCACAAACAAGCACTTTTCTCCTGAATGTTGTTTAACCTTAACTTTGGGCTACAAGAGGGGAAATGAAGACATGCGTGTAGATTATAGAGGAGGTCTTGTGTTGGGGCTGTGGGCAGTGTTTGAAAAGGAGGAATGTATAAGACAGTGGGCAAACATCACTGGTTCGCTCATAGATTGAGTCCTGCACCGCTCCCAAGGGCTTCACTGAGGATTTCAGACCGCCTGTCTCTGCTCTGTAGCCACTGATCAAAAGGTAAGTGTCAGTTTGCTGTCTTTATCCCGTCTACTTCCTCTTTGTGCACGAGAGGCAGAGCTGGAAATGATCACAACTACAACGCGTGCACGTTTTATGACCGTAATCTCTTGGCAACGTTTCCCAGCGTGTGCTGCACTGCATCAAAAGGCACCTAACCCCAAACACGTTCGTCAAGCTAAACGTCCAAGCTTTTTCCTGCAAACCGGCATGCTGTAAAACACGTCTGCGTGTGCACGGATGTCTGGAACTGCCCGTTGTGGATGTTACTGTAACACCTCGTGCAGACAGGAAAGAAACACAATATTTTCATCAGTGCTTCAAGGAATGCAAAGAAGCTTCAGTTCTGATCTGAACTTGTGACGCAACTCAAAACAGTAGGCTAGACTTTTTAAAGATATTGTTATACATGTTTGTTTATCTTTGAATAGTTAAAGTAGCTTAAAGTTTAAAGCAAATGTTCAGATTTCTTAAAGTGGGGTTTTGTGGAGAACATATGACTAGTTAATATCTTACCCGTTGTAGAACTCTTTTTGAACAACCTTGATTTGGAGAAATAGAGCTTAATTCTGACTGGATTGATGGCTAGGCTGAGGGCGGCACAGTGGCTCAGCTGGTAGAGCTGTTACCTCTCAGCGAGAAGGTCACCGGTTCAAATCCCAGCCTGTGACCTTTCTGGGTGGAGTTTGCATGTTCTCCCTGTGCATGCGTGGATTTTCTCCAGCTACGCCAGTTTCCTCCCACAGACCAAAAACATGCATGTTAGAGTGAATGGTTGTTTGTCTTGTTTGTCTCTATGTGTCACTGTGATGGGCTTGCAACCTGTCCATGGTGTCCCCCACCTCTGGGCAGGTGTAGGTACGTGTGATCCTAGTGACCCAACAAGGAAGAAGTGGGTAAAGATGATGTATGGATGGCTAGTCTGAGCCAATCTTGCATAACATCATTTGTCTCTGAGTAATGACACCCTGAAAGATGTGTTAGGAAAGACTTTAAGCTATCACATGAAATTGTACCTCAATGTCTGTAAAACAGGCAATAAAGTTTTTATTTCTTTTAAAATCTTTTTTATGTTTACTAGGTGGCCTTCTTGAACTTGGTTGACTCCAACAGTTAATTGGGATGGGATGCAGCAATTGCTTTCTAAGCATTTTATTAAAAATCTATCTAGTAGTTCATAAGATATTTTGCTAACAGACAGGTTGAACATGCGGTATAAGACTGTCTGCCTTGATTGAGGTGCGAAGGTGGGGCAGTGAAGGGACAGCAAATTTCTAGTTGCAACCATTCCCTGGTATTTTTGCCTCGGTTTAAGGATGGCAGCAGTTCACCTTAGTCTTGACTCTATTGGACAGAATTAAACTCTGTTTCTCCAAACTGAGGTCATTCAATGAGCTATCTGCAACAGGTAAGATATTATTTATGTATGAGCTTTTGACTGAATTCCATTTCATAACATCTGAACTATGACTTGGCTGTGTTAAAATGTTAAACTGTAGGAATACTGAGGGATGCAACAAACAAAACTAGATAAATTGCATTTCCTGAGAAAATGCAGCGTGAATGCTTTTTGCTGAAGAACTTGCTGAAAAACAGCTAAAATTAGCTAAAAACATGCTGAAATGTAACTGAAATGGAAGAACAAGCCTAAGTTAGCAGAAGAAAACAGACAGAACCCATATTTGTTAGGTTTAAATAAAATGAGCACAAAAAATAGGAAATTAGCTAAAAAATGCTGAAATCAGCAAAAATAACTGAAAAGTAGCTGAAAAGGGAGAGTAAAGCTTAAGCTACCAGAAGGAAGTGGAGACAGAACATTTTTGCAGAATGAGGCAGAATAAAGTTGAAATTAGTGCAAAAATTTTGGAGTTCTCTGCAAAAGCTAAAATGAGCATAAAAACAGCTAAATGGTAGCTGAAATAACTGAAACTAGCAGAAATAAGCTGAAAGGAGCATAACAAGTTAAAAATAGCAGACAGAAGTTAATTAGGCTGAAAGTAGCAGAAAATACCACAAAAAAAACTTGAATTTATCTTAAAACAGCTAAAATTTACTAAAAGGTGGCTGAAAAAGTAGAACAAGCTTAAACTAGCAGAAGAAAATAGAAAGAACATGTGTTTGCCTAATTAGGCTGAAAGAAGCAAAACTGAGCACAAAAAAGTGGAAATTTTCTGAAAAAGCCGGAATTAGCAAAAAAAAAAAAAAAACAGCTGAAAAGTAGCTGAAAAGCAGAAAGAAGCCTAAATTACCAGAAGGAAATGGAGAGATGCCATTTTTGATGAATTAGGCTGAAAAAAGTTGAAATAAGTGCAAAAAAATGTGGAATTAGCTGAAAAAGCTTAAATTACTATAAAACAGCTAAATAGTAGCTGAAATAGTAGAAAATGCTGAAATGTGCAGAAATAAGCTGTAATTAGTAGAAACAAATTAGAAGACGCACAAAAATGTTGTAGTTAGCAGAAAGAATCTGAAAGGAGCACAAAAACAGCTTAAATTAGCTGAAAGTAGCTGAAAAATGTTAAAATTTGCACAAGGAAGCTGAAAGAAGTCCAACCGGAACAAAATGTGCAAGGAGCAGTAAAAGGTTGTAAACACACCTAAAGATTTGAAGGATGTAAAATGAGCTCAATTAATTTTCTATGAGAAAACGAAAAGTGGCAGAAAAGGCTAAATATTTAAAAAAGCTAAAGTTGCACCAGTACCAGAAGTCATAGCAGGATTGTCCTGAAAGAGCTGAACGTTTTGATACATGATTTGTTGAAATAGCTTGAAAACTGCAGGACGAGAAACACACAGAAAAACATACAGAAGAAAAAATTTATCACAATAGTGTGAACGCTTCATAAACATTCTCACAATAAACATTTACTGCAAAACCAACAGATGTTTGAGGCTGCAGGTCCTCGGTTAACTTCTTACTTGGTTAACTTCTTACTTGGTTAACTTCTTACTTGGTTAACTTCTTACTTGGTTAACTTCTTACTTGGTTTACTTCTTACTTGGTTAACTTCTTACTTGGTTAACTTCTTACTTGGTTAACTTCTTACTTGGTTTACTTCTTACTTGGTTAACTTTTTACTTGGTTAACTTCTTACTTGGTTTACTTCTTACTCACTAAGACTGCAACATGAAGTTAAACGTTATAAAATGCTTCAACACACCTCTGTAACATCATGTCCAGAAAAAACTGATTATCTAATATTGACATGATTATGTGTCCCCAGTTGTCCCCATGGCTCTGCTGCTCTGTGGCGTGTTGGTGCTGCTGTGTGGGTTTGATACCGCCCACACATTAGTCCTCACTGACATGGATTATGGAGGCGTTCCTCTGTGGATTAACCGCCTGCTGGGCGAGCCCAGTGTTTTGAGTCTGCAGGGACGGATGGACCCTAGCTGGTTCCAGGCTAACAACCCTGAGTCCTGCTCCGACCAGTGTGTTTGTCCCATCCAGTGGCCCACGTCGCTCTACTGTGACCACAGAGGCCTAAAAGACATCCCTGAAAGGCTGCCAGACAGAACCCAGTACTTGTTTTTACAGGTAGAAAAACTGCAATTTAACCTTTACTTTGAAAAAGTCTACCAAACGGTAGCTTTCTTTTACGTTTAAATGATTGTTTCCATGCACTTTTTCATTTTAACTACAGAATAAATTATGGGGAAAAAGAGTATTTATTTCTGCTGTTTCAAGGGTAACAACATCTCGTCCCTGTCCTCCTCCATCCTGGCCAACATCACGGGTCTACGCTGGCTCATCGTAGACAACAACCAGCTGCAGAGCGACAAGCTGGAGCAGGCCTGCCTGCAGAACCAGACGCAGCTGCGGTACTTCTTCGCCAATCGTAACCAGTTGACCTCGGTGCCCAGTGCTCTGCCAGCTGGGCTCAGACAGCTGCGACTGGCCCACAACCGTATCAGCAGCATCGACCCAGGAGCTTTCCACAACCTGAGCGATCTGACGCTGCTTTTACTGCAAGGAAACAGGCTGCAGATGATCGCAGAGGGCGACCTTAAAGGTGCATTAACCGTCGTTTCTTTTCGTTTATTTTATACACGTTAATTTGAACAAGAATATCTGGAATGGACAGAAGCAAAAACAGCTGTGATAACCCGACAAAGTCCAAAATGTGTTCCCAGATAAACTTTCATATTTTGTTATTTTCTCGGATTGCATTGCCACAAATAATTTAATCAGTCAGAAACTGTCCCATAAAGACATAAACAATGACTTTCACGATTAAATGTTTGTCAAATGTCAAGTTATGATTACATTTCAGCCGTAAAAATTAAAAATCTTCACTGTCTGTGTGTTAGAAAATGTTCTTTCAGTACCATATTATGATGATGTAATGTCCGCAGACATGAAATGTTACGTATATTAATTTTTCATCCACACAAAACATTTAGTTCCTTACACATTTTAAATGCATCTGACCAATAAATGCTCATCATTCGTTTGCTTTAATCTTTAGGTAATGGTTAGTTTCATTCATGATTGATGACATTTGATTCATTGCTTCCTGTTAAACCCAACCAGTGAGCTTACATTTTACGCAATTAAAAATGTTTTATTCATGTTCAAACTCAAGACGACAGCTCATTACGTTGTACAAATTCATAACTAATATTTTACAGTAAATGCTTGTGAAGTCAAAATACAGGTTTATCAGACGTCATGTTGTCATGTCCGTGTTCATGACTGTTCCTAACAGTTGACTCACTGAGTATGAGTTAATCTGTTACGAGTACTAACATCTGATGATTAATAAAAGCCGTTACGTAATTTTTAATTGTTCATCATCACAAATGAAGACATTTTGTCCCAGCACTGACTCTGAGAAGTAAAATATTTAAACATGTTCATTCATTTCAACCAGATTTTTCAGCATAAATGTTTGAATTTATGTAAAAAAAAAAAAAAATGTCTTCCCGTCTTCTTTTAGGTTTAGTCAGTCTCAATCTACTGGACCTCAGTGGAAATTTCTTCTCGGCTGTTCCCAAACATTTACCTCCTTCAGTCCAGCAACTTTATCTGTCGAACAACTCTCTCTCTGGTCTGGACGAGGACGGTTTTGTGGACCTGCTCAACCTGAAGTACCTGCGTCTCAGTCACTGTCGCCTGCAGAGCCGCCACGTTCATCCACGAGCCTTTAACCTCTCCAGTCTGGTGGAGCTGGACCTCTCTTACAACAACCTGACCTCCATCCCCACAGTCCCCAGCACTCTGCAGTACCTCTACCTGGAGGCCAATTACATTCAAGGTGATGAAGTCAGTTACAGAAACAACATGTACAAATAATACAATCTCATTTAGAGCAGAGATACTAACAGCTTATTGTCAGTGAAGGATGTTTCACATTTCATTAACAGAAAGTGACGTGGCTCTTTATCCGATAAAGTCTGCCAAATCCAGCTGTGATAGAACAGATGGGGGAGGAGTTTGGCTTGGGTGGCAAGTGGGTGAGACAGAACTAACGAGCAGCAATAGAAGGGTGAAGAGGAGACTAAAAAGACGGGCTTTCAGTTGGTTGTATGTGAAGAAGCAACAAAAAAGCAGGGCTGTGACAACGTTTGGATTCAGTGGCAGACGTGCCAGATGATCCAGATGTTCCTCCATCCAGTCTCCCATTCCTCTCAGCGTCTGTCTGCTCATCATGCTTTTAGCTTGTAGCTCGCCGCAGCTCCATTAGATCACCCTTATATCAGGCTGAGTCACCATTTGGATAAAATGGAGGCTCCACGACTAACGGTGACGAGCTCTTTCAGCTCTGGCGCGTTCTGGTAAAGTAAAAATGTGCTCGTGTTTTCAAACTTCCCAGGAGTAAAACGAGAGGCAAACAGAAATAAAATAAATAAATAAGTCCAGCACACTAAAACACACCTCACTGTCTAGCCATTAACGTAAGAGCTACTGCATTTCCTCCCGGCTGCAGCCAAACGTGGGCTGAGAGAAACTGGAACTGCTGAAATGCTTTACTTTCACCACAGCACCTGGAGGACTTCTAATTGTGAATGCAGACCCTGTTTACAGCTGCACACTGCACCAAGACGCTTCGCATTGCATATTATGACTGAGGTGCTGTCAGGTTTCGCTTAATAAACAATGAATGATGTCAAATTGATGCGGTTGGGATTAGAACTGAGCGCGTCTTCACTTTGAACAGAATTAATTTAGAATTTAAAATCTTACTTCTAACCTACAAAGCTCTCAACAACCTAGCTCCATCTTATAGTCGAGATTTTATTGTTCCATATTTTCCTAACAGAGCACTTCACTCACAGACTGCAGGTTTACTTGTGGTTCCTAGAGTTTCCAAGAGCAGAATTGGAGGAAGATCTTTCAGTTATCAGGCTCCTCTCTTGTGGAACCAACTTCCAGTTTCTGTCCATGATGCTGACATGTTGTCCAGTTTAAAACTGGGCTTAAGACTTTCCTTTTTGATAAATCCTATAGTTAGGGTTGGCTTGTCATGCTGTCTTAAGTTTAGACTACTAGAGGACAAACTGACCTCATTTCCTTAAATGAATTGTTAAAATTGAACCGTTTTCATTTTATATATTTTCTATCCTTACATGTGATTCTTGACCTGCCATTGTGTATCTGTTCCTCTCAAACCCAGCCAGTCGAAGCAGATGGCCTCTAGTCCTGAGTCTGGTTCTGCTAAAGGTTTCTTCCTCATGAGGGAGTTTTTCCTTTCCACTGTCGCCTTCATGCTTGCTCAAGATGAGAGTTCTGTGATAGAGTTAACCTCAAAGCAGTTTGCTCCTCAGATAAACAATGTTAAGTTATTAGTTTTATATATGAATGTTTCTGTTCAGTGACCTGAGACGACTTCTGTTGTGACTTGGCGATATATAAATAAATTGAATTGAATTGACCAGCAGGACTCAAAATGTATTTTTATTCTCGACAGAGTTTAACGTGACGAGTTTCTGCAGAGACGTTGGACCCCTTTCCTACTCCAGGATGAAGATCCTACGATTGGACGGAAACAAAGTGACCTACCACCAGCTCCCCCCCGACTGGGTTTACTGCCTGCGAGTGCTTCAGAAGTTTTACATATGACTTGACTCCCCGACGGTTATTAAACACAGTGTGTATCTCTTCAAACCCCTCACTACAAAGAAAAAACTAAACAGGACTGGGCTTCTGAATTCTGTTTTTCTTGCCCAACTCATCGTTTGTGAACCGGAACAACTTGACAGTAAAGGCACAGAGAGCAGCTCTGATTTATGTTGGCCAGACAAACACAGCTGAGACATTTTCAGGAAAACAAACCTTGAAATGAAAATTAATCCTTAACAAGAGTTCTTCTCTCACAAAATTCCAAACTCATCTTCATCAAAATCTGCCTCTGGACTAAACATCTGGGTTTTATTACTGAGCAGGAAGTGTGTGCTCTGGGTAAAATATTTTTGAGCTAAACAGTGTGATCAGTCTGATTCTGTAGCTTTCCCATCAGTGACTCTAAGTTGTGTTGATCCAATTCTGATCCACTGCACAACTCCACACCTAAAACCCAGCAGGAAAGAGTTTGTGAAATCCTATTTTTTAACGGAGAACCAATGTCTTGAACTTTAATTTGTTGACTGAAACCCTTAATTAGTATGCTAATATGTGAATAGTTTGTGCCACATTATATAAAAGGCCCTCAATGTCCTGCACAAGTTCATAAATAAAGTTTGTTTTTATAGTCAGATTTGAACAGATTGATGCAGATTATTCGTGTGGTTTTCTTTAATAAGATTAATGCAACTAATGTTTTTTTTTTATTTTTTAAAGCAAACCCGAGCTACTTGATGCAGAAAAGAGTGACCCATATTTAGCCCTGAGGGCAGGATCTGGCTGTCTGCTGCGTGCACTCTGTAGTCAGGCTGTTGCACACGTGTGCATTCCTGCCTTTGTGAAAGCACACTATTAATAAAATGCATGCCTTCAATTTGAACTTTAAACTTGACAGTAAAACCTAAAGGCCTACCGTTATACCCATCAAATCTGGAAGTTTATGCTAAGCTGTGCATGACCAGCAGGTTCTGTAAGAAAAGGAAAGGAAAGTTCTGCAGTGACAAACAGAGTCCAGATCTCAGCATGCAGCAAAGAGGAGGAGAAGTGCAGCAGCAATCCAGAGGACAAAAGTCCAGACATTCTGCCAAATGTAATCTCTGAATGTTCATTGTGCATGTACGTGTTGGCAGATTATGCTGTGCTAAGCAAAAATCTGCATTTTATCAGAGGAGAGCATTCAACTTGCAGGGCTTTGAACCTCACCTGGATTAAAAATGCAGATCTAATGGACTTAATCACAATCTCAAGCTTTTTGCCTTCTGATAACTACAGCAAAATGTGTGTGAGAAATGAAACTTTATTGAAAAAGTGTCAACAGGATATTATTGGAGAAAAAAGAATAAATGTACAGAACTGACTGAAGTCATTTACCGTAATTGCCATTGTACACGTCGCACCACCGTATAAGTCGCATCAGTCTAAAAATGTCTAATAAAGTGGGGAAAAAAACATAAATACGTTGCTTTGCCATATACGTCACATTATGCGTCACCGCTGACCACCTGGAAACGTGGGCCGGTGTTGTGCCAAAAATTGATTGGCTACCAAATGGCAGCTGTGGGAGCGTGCACAAGAGGACTTTAACAAGAATTTAATAAGATAACCACCTAAAAACAATTATTTGTTTGCTCGACATTATAGTAAAGGTGTGTCTCAGTTGAACTTTTCCTTAATAAATGCACTTTAATGGTCAAATCAGCTGCGTTTCGCCACACCGCCCAGGTGATTTGACGTTTGCTCCAGGAGTTTTGGAGCGAGACGAAGGTGCCTTGGTATGGCAAGCCAAGTGTCTCATTAATAGTCACTTTTACCTATTAATGAGACACTTGGCATGCCATATTGCTCAAGGGCCCTCTAGCGGCTGAAAACGGTAGTGTTCGATATTTTCCATGTCAGAATGAATGAAATTGTCAGATTTCAACCAAAAATTGGGTTATAAATATGGGAAAAAAGCGTATATTAGTCGCTTCAGTGTATAAGTTGCAGGACTTGCAAATTTATGCACAAAGGTGCAACTTATATGGCGAAAAATATGGTAGTACTTAATATCAATGTGGAGTATGATATTTACAGCATGAAGTAATCTACCAGCATTTAACAAGTCTTCTCCAGTAGAACTTGAATGAAATCAAAAGCTTTGCATTCCTTTGAACTTTCTTCTTCTTCTTTGAAGGTTTACAGTAACTTTATTGATTTGCACACTATTCAAGATTTCATTTAAAATTAACCAGATTTAACCAGAATAAATTATAGCATTAACAAAACAAACAAATCTCAACTCATACAAACATTGAAAATCAACAGTGCAGGACGTGGTGTGCGCTCTTAAAACTCAAAGTGTGTAAGGGATCACTGCCAGCTTCTTTGATATCTGTAAAACCACAGAGTTTAAGTCATTTTTTATGTTTAATTAGGTTAGTAATTGCAGTAGCCATTTTGAATTAGGTTAACTCCAGAAGTTAATCAGACATTTATGCATGTTTAAAAAAAATGTTCCTACAAGAATGAATATGTAAAAAAAAAAAAACATTGTACACTGTACTGCATGAGCTGAACATTTTGATACTGAAAGTGTGCTGAAGAGGCGGGTATGAATGCTGCCTCAGCATTCACACAATTAAAGATGAGCTCTAGTTAAACAGAATAATGTAAGTCAGGTTCTGAAGCTGTCTGTTTGGGTATAAAATTGCCACTTGAGCACATTTTCATGATCCAGGAGCTCAAGTAAACAACACTTGGATACCAGCGTTTAATAATAAATCAAAAATGACTGTGTTCAAAGTGAGTCTGCATGTGTGTTTCTGCCTTTGCCACGTGCTATTACCGAGTCCACTATCATCTTTTCCGGGTGACACGGTGTCTTAAACAGGCGGGGATTGTGTCTGAGGGTCTCATCAGAGTTGTGTCATGTCTGGATCCAGTTTTAAAGGGAAGAGACTCACACAGAGCTCCTTTAAGGGACAAGCTTTTTCCAAACAAGTTTGTATAAAGTTGTTCCAGTGACGGTCAATCAATAGTCTACTGTGTGTGTGTTTGTGTGTGTGTGTGTGTGTGGGGGGGGGGGGGGGGGGGGGACATGGCAGAGATCATGGAAAATGTTCTCTTGGTTTATGCTGCTGCAAAGTTATGTAGTTTCTGTAAATGCTGCTCAGCCAAACAATTTAGCAGCATTTTGATGTCAAAAATGTGCAAATGAGCTCTTTTTAGGTAAATAAAACAGGCTTATCACAAAAATATATTTCAATTTGATAGATTTTTAAATAAATAATATCATATGAGTCCACAAAGGTAAATCATTATGCAACAGTATTATAAGACAAAACTATGATTAAAAGTCTTCAGAATGAACAAGCACACCTACCCCAACTGAACATACTGTAGAAGGATCTGCGGTGGAAGTGGTCTCCAGCTACTTGGGTGTGCACCTGAACGACAACCTCAGCTGGAGCAACAACACCACCAGCCTGATCAAGAAAGCTCATCAGAGACTCTACTTCCTCAGGCGGCTGAGACAAACTGGTCTGGGAAGTTCAGTCCTCACCTCCTCCTACAGGTGTGCAGTAGAGAGCATCCTGTGCTCCAGCATCAACGTGTGGCATGGAGGCTGCACAGCTGCAGAAAGAAAAGCTTTGCAGAGAGTGGTGAAGGCTGCACAGAAGATGTTGGAGTCAACCTCCCCACCATCACAGACATTTACACCTCCAGATGCAAGAAGAGGGCCACCTGCATCATGAAGGACCTCACTCACCCAGCACACACACTTTTTCCCCGCTCCCTTCAGGAATGAGGTTGAGGAGCATTAAGTGTAGAACCACTAGACGGAGGAACAGCTTCTACCCTGAGGCTGTTAGACTCATGAATCTCTAACCAGAAAAATCACATCATGTTGCTGCTGATCTGTTTCATGTTGCCGTGTTCATGCGTGCTCATCTGCTCACACAGACTCATGTTCGTGCTGCTGTTCGGCGTATTGTTTTTATGCTATTAGTGCTTAGTGTATTTCTAGTTAACATTTTTCTTAGTTCATATCTTAGATCTCATTACTGTTTTTCTTTTACATTTCATACTTTAGCTGGATGTAACTGGGACCCTGTGTACATAATTTTGTTCCACCACATGTACCACATGTGGTGTGAGTGACAAATAAAGAAACTTAAATCTTTAAAGATCACTCGCTGCCTTTTTTGCCAGAGTTCATACCCAGCTACAACTGAAGCAAATTTGAGCTCAGTATCTTTAAATTTGACATTTAAAGCCATTTTGTGTTGGCTAAGGGGAATTAGGTGTGGCTGCCGTGCTGAAAAGGGTCGACTTTAAAGATAAATGAGTTGTTGAATTTAATTTAAGTTTAATTTATTTTAAAACCATCCAGTAGCAAGGCCAAGTATTGCTAAGACAGACAGTGTTGACTCTAAAAGTTAATGCTTTACACAAAGACGTCTAAAAATACAAAGTATGATCCAAACACCAAACTCTTATTAGAGCCAAACTTTTATAATTCTTTCATTTTTCTTTTTACAATTTATAATTCTTATTTTATTTGCAGCTGTAAATGAGGTGGAGGCAGATGTGGGTGCTTCACCTTTCCGACCCACATTTTTTGTTGTCGATCCAGGGATCTGAACCGGCGACCTTCCAATCACAGACTCGCCTCTGCCCCACCACTCATGCCTCAGGTTAAAGAAGATGAGCCTGTGATTGGAAGGTCGCTAGTTTGAATCCCCAAACAGGCAGCAATAATTTAGATGGGAAAGGTGAAGCACCCACATCTGCCTCCACCCATATTTGTTCAACTCTGGGCCCTTGAGCAAGGCCCTTAACGCCCTCATCTGCTCCCCAGCATCTTAGATGGCAGCTCTGCTCCACACATGTGGGCTGCAGTAGCTCGGTGGTCGTGTTTGCGTCAGGAAGGGCCTCAAACAATTGTCTATTTTTCATGTGAGTTTGCTCGATGCGGTGACTGACGCCAGAAGAAGGGAGAGCAGCTGAAGAAATAAAAATAAAAAATGGGTGTGTGGTGGAGAAAAAGCTGCAGGAGAAAGGG